GAAGGTTAGAAAAGTAACTTAGCTTGTCTGACATTGCTAAAAGCAAGAAAACTTAATATAAATATAAGAACAGAAGGAAATTTATAGACAATGTTTGGATATGAAATCAAAATAAGAGAACTTATAAACACACAACTACAAAAAAGAAGTGGTATGAGAATAAATGAAGCAGGCATAATATATTTAAACCAGTTAATAGATACAAAAGGAGAGAGACTAATTACATAGCAACAGCTAAAAAGTTACTAAGACCTATCAAGTAAAGAGAAAAAAGCAAAATGGTTCAAAGTGATAGAACTAAAAGTGCTCATTAGATCAGAAAATAAAGAAATTAAAAGACAATATAGAACAATCAGATAAAACACCCAAGCAATACAGATAAGATGGGAGTGTATCTAAGAAGACAAAAGAAGAAAAAAATAGGTAACACATGATGTACAAAATGATCGACAATTAAAAAAGATAGTTAAAAAGAAAAGAAAAAAATATTAGTAGAACATTTGCAAATGCAGAGTAAAGAAAGTGAATTAGCTATCAAAATCAACAGATGTAAAGGGTGTATAAGAGTAGAAGAACACCAAGAAGATAGCTGCCAACAGTGGATAAGAGTAAATTATAGAATCAATGTGATCTCTAATGCATTAATAAAAAAAGGCAGCAATAAAATCAAGATACCAATAGATCAAATAACAAAAATGATAAAAACAAGCAGACTAGTAATAGGAGAACAGAAACTCAAAGGACTAAGAGTAGTAAAAGAGCCAGAAGTAGAGATAGTCAGACGACAAAAGCAAAAAAACAGTATTAGTCAAGAGATAATAGAAGTTTTAAGAAGAAATATAACAAGAAACAAAAACAAATATATAATATATACAGATGAAACATCAAACCTGAAGACTAAGGAAGACATAAGAAGCAGAAACAGTATGGGCATAAGGTGAATGCAAACAGATGAAATGCTAGAATGGTCAGAAGAAGAGTTAGCATTAGGTTTAGAAGGATGACAAACATCGACAATAGCTAAGTTAGTAGCAATATAGGCTGCAATCTTAACGATACCAAGAGAAAGACAAATAGAAATATATACAAATAGCAATGCAGCAATAAGAAACATTAGTAGATGTTTAGAACAAGTTTGCAAAGATAAGATCTTTAAAAAGAAAAATGCAATATGGGAATGAAAATTAGAGAGCTTATTAGAACAAAGAACATTCAGATAGAGTTGGTTAAAGTTAAGAGTTATAGTAAAGATAGATGGAATGATAAAGCCGATAGTCTAGCAAAAAAGATGCAACAAGTGAGAAGATAATACAGGTTGAAAAAGTCAGCTGCGAAGAGATAGAGTACTGCTTAGAGTGGGAAAACAAACATACTGACATACCAGCAAGACTACTATGTAAATTGATAATGAATACAAGATTAGAAGCAGAATGGAAAGAAATAAAAGCAATTAGAGAATTGGAACCAGAAACAGAAGTTATGATATATGATTAGACATACTTTTGGAATAGGCTAAAGATATCTAAAGGAGTACACTGCACAACAAGAAGAAGTAGTACCAGAAGAAGTGCATTCATAAAGTGCATAATGGACAGGTTTCCAACTCTAGAAGAACTAAACAAAAGAAGACCAGAGGTATATACAACAACAGAATATCAAATGTGCCAAATCAAAACAAAAGAAACACAAACACATCTGACAGCATGTAAGGGACAAAAGAACTTGTAAAAAAAAATTCAAAAAGTGACCATTGCAACAACATGGAAAAAGTTAAAAGAAGAAAAAAAAGTTCGAGTCCCTTCATATATATTATATACAGCACTTTTTGAAAAAACAGAAGCAAAGGAAATCAAAATAAGAGAAGTATTAATTAAAGGTCTTATTCCAAAAGAAATGCAAGACAGATTAAGGCAGCTCCTAAGTACAAAGTCAAGGCAGCAGTTTATGAAAATTGTAGCAAGAATGGCTTAGAATATATTTTATGAACAAGTATGGAGAATTCAATGTGAGAAGGTCAATGAATGAGAGAAAAATGAAGGAATAACAGATAGAATAAAAAGAAGAAAAGAAGAAAAGAAGAAAATACCAAGAAAAAAAAAAAAACTAAATCAGCAAGTAATTGAAGAGAGAAAAGAGAAAGTAGAAAAGAAGTACAAAAAACAATTTTAGAGCTTGTCATGAAAAAGAGAAGACCCTTTCATTATAGACTTTAAGTAGTCAGATGAGCAGCTTATTTCTGCTTGAAATAATGCAGCAGGTAGCACTTAGGTACTATTAGGATGGCTGAGTGATGCTGAGCTTAGTTGTTAAAGATATTTATGTAATTGCAAATGTAATTTCAAAATCTTAATAAAGCACTAGTGTGACTGCTTAAGAGAAAAAAAAAAAATAAAAAAAATAGAAAATTCATTTATATCAAAAATTTTTTTATATAATTAATTTTCAAAATTAACTAAAGTATATTCAATATTAAGAATAGTTGAACTGAATTCACACACTTTTACACTATGATATGATTAGTAAGTTTTTTTTTTTTTTTTTTTTTTTTTTTTTTGCTTACGCTAAGGCCTTTTAGTTATGACAGCTACTGCCTTTATTGTGAATTCAATTATGATTATATAACTTGTACAAGGTTATTCCTATACTATACTAGCAGATAGCAGCACGAGCTCCTGTACACCTAATTAGATGCCATCTAACCTAACCTTGACCTCCCTGTCTATATGTCTGTCAGGTCGTTACACATTTCAGAGTACGTCACCTGACTATAGGGCTCCAGGGGGCCCCTCTACTAACTAACTACTCACATTTAATCTTTGCTAACAGGGCTTGCCCTTACAGAGTTCACTCAGACCCCAGCACTGACTTTACAACATATCCCTAGTACTTTAGTATACCCCTGTTTCCAATCTCAAACTCCCAATTCAGATAGCCCGGTAGAACTGTGACCTTTCCCTAGTACCCCAGGGTCTGCCTCCCAAGGTTCTTTTCCTCCAGTTCGAATCTTCTGGTGACCTGGTTCCTATTAGTAAGTTTTTTGAATTGATACTTTCAAGAACAGATATTTTTTTAATAGATCAAATATTTACAGAATCTTTATGAGCATACTAGATATTGGAAATTCTAAACATTTTTTTTAGCATTATCATGATTCCAACCTAAAACATTATAAACACTTGTTATGCCCATTAAAGAAATCTTCAGATATTCCTAAAATTCAAGATAATATTCAACTTGATCAACAGTTAATTTTTGATCAAATTTGGCAAATGTTGGTTATGCTACATAATTAAAATAACTGTAATTAATTACTTATACATATAAATTGTCAGGGATGATGCTGAAATTTGGATGATCATGAAATCTAAAAACCCCATTGGCTAATCACTCTAATCCTAACCAATCAGATGCGTTAATTTCATAATCATCCAAATTTCAGTTTCATCCCCCACATAAATTATATACATTAATATTATATTAAATTAATTATTATACCTCATCGTTATCCTCATTTTCCAAACGGTTTTCAGTATATCATTATCGTTTAAATCCTCATAGATGTCTTCATCTTTCAAACTATTTCCAATTATATTATTATCGTTTAAATTATCCATAGATACACAATCATTTAAGCTATTATCACTACCATATTCACTTTCAGAGCTGCTAGAAATTTGTAAATCCTATTTATAAAATTACTTGTTAACTTTTTTTTTTTAAATAATTTGTGATCAAATACCAAGCCACGACAATAGTACAAATAATACTTCATAATATCGGATAAATGAATTCGAAGTTGATTCCTTTAATACAATATAAACTTATTATTATGCAATATTAAATTTATCGCTGATTATTATTAAAATAAAAAAATTACTAGCACTGGCTCATTGTCTGAATCGGATAGCACGATTATTTCGGGTTGATTTGATATATTGTTATTTCTTGAACTTGTATCGAGCGTATCAATATCGACTTTTAATTTTAAATCCATTATTTCTTTAGAAATTGGTGGATAAAAAAGGTTTAGATTTGCAGTTTGCATTTTCTTATACGTATCGATAGTGTTATGTCATCAATTAATTTATACGGTACCAACCAAACTACCGAACCGTACCGAATGTATGTATACTCGTATTCATTTTTTTTTAATTACTTTTTATTTCACCGATTGGCTAATTTACTTTTTTTAAAATTTGTATCACTCACACAAATAAGTACATATTTGTTCCAGAACACGTGTAAAAGAAGAAAAAGCAAAAATACTCAAAAGCTAGGGTTGAAACCGGTCTTGCGCACTAATTAAAAATGTCGGGAACATATAATGTGCAATAGTCTATGGTTATAGCTTCTAATAATCCTAAATTTGTGGTTTTATGCACTTTGTTTATTTACAAAATTAAATTTCCTTTTTTGGGTTGTATTACCGGCACAAATAAATAAGGCTTACGTATCTGCACAAGGGCGTTACTGGTTTTTTGATTTCTTGCAGCATACGTACGTACGTTCATTCGTATTATTCAATAAAACTTAGTACAACCAAAAAGTCATGGCAAAGATATCAGTAAAGTGGCTTGAAGAAGCTATTTCTGGTGGGCATATTAAATGTCTCGAATATAATGAATTTACATACTCTAGTGTGATTGGCGTTGGAGCCTTTGGAAAGGTTTCTAAATACGAGTGGAAAGAATGTGAATTAACCGTTGCTCTTAAATGTCTAAAAGTCGATACAG